TGGGGAGCGGGCGGGTGTGGGGACCCGCGCACCTCGCGATCACCGCCCTGCTCTGAAGTGGCGTCTGCGGCAAAAGGGCGTTTGAGACGGATGCGTGCCTGTCACTTAGCTGTGTGCCTCTAGCAAGCTCGTTGACCTCGCTGAACTCATCCCTCATCCATCATAAAAATAGGCTATACGTAATGACAACCCTGTCTCATACAGACTTGTGAGGAATGAAAGAGTCCGATTCACGTTACTTACTAGTGTTACTTGGCAGTTGCGAGAACCTTCTGGGACTGGCGCAGTGTAAGAAGTGCCCCCGTGATACATACTTTCTGTATTTCTCAAGAATTTAGCACAATGTCTGGAATATATTTGATAATCAATACGTATTGTGAGTGAGTGAAGGAGAGAAGACCTTACTGCAACCATCACTGGAGGGGTTATGGGGAATGGTCCGCCCTATTTATCTTTGTAAATGCGTCATATTGGCTTGTGCTGGGATTATATTTACTTCAAAGAACCAGAATTTTTTAAAGTTCCATTTAATTTTATTGAAATTATTCTTTAATATTACTAATTTTATGAATTGGAAAACAGTAAGTACTCCACTTCTCATTTGTATTCATTGGAAAAGCAACCCTAGGGCATCAGAGTACAAAGACACAGTGTAAGCCTTTACATAGAGTAGAATATATAAAATGGAATGAGAAATGATACCATCTTCACCCACTTGCATGTTAAACGAATTGCTTAACGATCACCGAAACCAAAAATTTATAGTTTGTTTTTCTCTAATAATATGACTTTAAAAGTATCCAAAAGCTAGTTTAGCTCGGTAGTAAGATTTTATTTTAAAAGTAGATCAACGTTTATTTTTAAAACCTTTATATTTGAAAATAATTTTAGATTTTAGAAGAGTTGCGAAGGAAGTACAAAGAGTTTCTGCGTATCCCTTATCCAAGCTCCTCTGACTGTGAAATCTTACATAATCATGGTATAACGATCAAAACTGAGAAATTAACATTGGTACATCACTGTTAACAGGCTTCATTCGGATTTCACCAGTCTTCCCACTGATGTCCTTTTCTGTTCCCAGGAACCAGTCCGGGATACCACACATCATTTAAATATCTTGTCTCTTCAGTCTCTTCCTATCTATGAAAGTTTCTTGGCTTTCTCTTGTGTTTCATGACCTTGACACTTTTGAAAAGTATCGGGCAAGTATTTTGCTAATTGTCCCTCACTTTGAGTTTGATGTTTTCTCATGCCTAGTCTGGGGTTGTGGATTTTGGGGAAGTATGCCACAGAGGTGAAGCGCCGTTCCCCTCCACTCCAGCAGGGGTTTCCTGACATCAACATGACTTATTACCAGTGATGTTAACCTTGATCACTTGCTTGCTGTTGATCACTATTTCCCCCTTTCTATTGTCTATTCTTTGGAAGGGAGTCATTAAGTGGAGCCCACTCTGATGGTAGGGGCAGGGATTGGTAGATTAAACCCGCCTCCTCAAGGAAAGAACATCAAAGAATTTGTGGATATGTTAAAACCATCATAGTAATTAAGACATATCTGTGGGGAGACACTTTGAGATACTGTGCATGAGTCCCATTCCTCCTTAAACTTTCATCTACCAGTTTTATCATTTATCAGTGGATCTTGCCTGTAGCAATTATTACTGTGGTGTTCTCAAGGTGATTTTCTATTTTCTTCATTTTTTTTCTACATTTGTTAATTAGAATTCTTCTGAAAGGAGAATTATCCTATTTATTTACTTATTTATTCCTTCAGTCATTTGTTTATATCACTACGGACTCATGGATATTTATTTAAGGCATAGAATGTTAAGCATTGATCTGAGTCTCTACATCCTACCTACAAATGTCACCATCATCATCATTATTAGATTGGGACTTGTTGTGGATGACATGGAGTGGGAACAACAACAAAAAATATGCGCACTTCTGTGCACAGTTATCTCCACTTTACTAAGAGGAGTGTCTAGATACTGATTAGACTTGTTGAAAACTAGAAATCTTGGGGGTAAGTCACTTATTTTAAGCAGCAAAAGTAACTAACAGAGGAACTAAACATGATGTGATCATCAAACTTTGGGGGAGGGTGAGAAGGGGTGGTATATGTAACCTAAATCCTCATCTTTTCACCGATAGGTCAATGATATCGGTGAACATCACTAGAGCTTTGATCATGTGATTTGGAATTACATATTTGAAACCAGAAATGCTTTAAACAGATTGCCTTTTTAAATCAGTCAAACTTGGATTAGTCTATGAATGGTATGGGACAGCTGGGAGGTTTAAACAAATGTAATTGGGCCCATACCTCACACCTTACACAAGGAACATCTCTAGACAGATCAAATATGTAGCTATGTTAAAGAAAGAAATCAATAAAGTATCTGTAGGACTTAAGGAAAAAAGTTACAAAAGGTGGGAGTGAAAACAGCCTTGTTAACCAAAAGCAGAAATCTTAGAAGGAAAGACTTATACGTTCAATGACATAAAATTTTTAAAAAATCTGTTTGGAAAAATTCAGTAAGTCAAAAATTAACTGGGAAAAATATTTGGTTTCATTTCACAGTCAAAAAGCTAATTATCCTAGTGTAGAAAGAGCTAAAAAATCAATAAAGTAAAAGGACAGAAGCCCAATGGAAACGTGAGCAAATGATCCGAGCAGAACGTTCGCAGAAGTGGCCAAATAGCTGCTCTCAAACACAAATCGTGTTTGTGTACACTTATGAAAATTGTGAGTTAAAATCACACACAAGTGAAATGTTTTCATCCATCAAGTTGGCAGAGATCAAAAAATTCTATGACTCTGGGAGTTGGCAGGGATTCATGGAAAGTCACTGTCTTACATAAGTGGTGGGAGTGTAGACCAGTACAACCGCTAAGGAGGGCAGTTTAGCAATATCTTTCTGCGTTAAAAATGCACACACCCTTTGACCTAGCAAGTCCATTTTAAGACTTTACACTTGAAACATGTTTGCCTACATGCAATATGATGTGCTATGAGGTTATTTATTACTGCATTGTTTGTAATAGCCAAAGATTGGAAAACTACCTAAATGTTCATCCAGGTGGGACAAACTCAATACAGCAATATTTATAATATTTTCAACTTTAAAAAGAATTTGAAAGCTCTTTATATATTAATATTGGATGATATCCTATCTTCTAAAAAGTAAAAAATAAGATATAAAACAGTTCATACAATTTGCTATCTTTTTTTTAAGGGTTGAAATATTCCTTAAGTGTGTGGGTATATTTTGATAGATGGAGAGACAAAAAAAAAACTAATAAAACTGGTTGCTTTTGAGGAGAGAAGCTAGATGACTCGGGGCAGGGCAGCAGGGAGAGTTTTTGCTATATATAATGTTTAACACTTTTTGATTTTTGGTCCATGTGAGTATACTTTCTACCAACCAAAAAAGAAAAAAAAAAAACAGGAAGGAAGAACAGAGAGGAAGGAAGGGAGAAAAAGGAAAAAAGGAAGGAAGTTGCCTTTAGGAACTTGTACTGGCCTCAGGTAGGGGTGTTGCAAGGAAAGTTATATATATGATTTATTAGCATTTGTATATTTTACTTTGATTTAAGGAAAATGTCAGTTATGAAGGCAATATAGTGGCACACATGACAGTTTTAAGATATAATATTTGCCAAGATACGGCTAGGTATTTACATCACTGGCTCTCAACGCCTGACCTTTTCCTAAGGATTTGCCAAGGGTTATGTGAAATTCTGTGCGCTAGCTTTTGCACTTAAGAAACCATACAAGATGCAAGAGAGTCAAGTTGACATTATTATGGTTCTAATCTTAGATCTGCTGTGCTGTATTAAAAGAGATAAACCTTGGCAAACCAGGTATTTTAAATATGATTAATAACAAATTTAGTTGGAACAGCTTGCAGTTCATCAGGACATAACCAGTGTGACAACTTCACAGCTGTGAACAGCTCAGATATGCCTCATTATACTCTTCTAAAATATGTACATATTGGACATGTGAACAAAAGCAAAAAAATGGAAAAAATGAAAATAGCTGTACTGGGGATTCTACATAATTTTTCTCAGTTTCTCAGACTCCCTTCCAGGCTTTGATAATTTTTTTCCTTTCTTTTTTTATAAAAGAGCTTTATTGAGGTAACTGACATACGATAAACTGCACATATTTAAAGTGTAAACTTTGATAAGTTTTGACATATGCAAACACCTGTGAAAAACCGTCACCACAATCAAGACAGTGAATGTGCCTGTCACCCCAAAGTTTCCTGTGTCCCTTGGCAATGCCTCCCTCCCATCCCTCCCTGCCCTCCTTCCCCAAGCAACCAGTGACCTGCTCTCTGTCACTAGCGATTAGTTTGCATGAATCATTTTGTCACTATTAGATTCTT